AATAGAGAGATTCTCATCCATCTTATCTCTAGATTTAGATTCCTGTTACCTCAGGGACTTAGAGCCCTCCCTAGATTATTTACAGTGAAGAATGGTGGTAACACCACCAATTATTACCTTGGGAACCCCTCTGTAACACCAGGGTCAGGGGGTACTTAACAAAAGATTGGGCAGAGGACAAGGATAATTAAGGGGAGCTCAGCAAGAGATATCTTTAATTAAGGGTAACAAAAATTCCAGGTCTGTGAAAGGACAGGTAAGTTATTAGACGCCTTCCTAGAAGGATATGAGTTGGAGACAGAATCCGAGTGCCTCCTTACATGTCTGGAGGAAGCCATTAACTAAACTACAACTCTAAGATACAAAATTGGGAATAGTGACTTATTTTAAAGTTCTGTTGAAATAAAGAATCATGCTATTAATACCCATGGAAATGACAGGGTGATCAACACTATGAGTTGAAAAAAGGGGAAACTGTTAGAGCACAGATGTGTTCAAGTGGCTGTGTGCTGTCTCCAGCAATACTCAGAGAAGAGTGAGAACAACGAAACTCTGATTGGTCCCAGTGTGAGCCCAAATGAGGTTCAGCTGCCAACTTTATCTTTCTCATCTTTTGAAAGTCATTATTTAAGCACAACTTTTTTTTTTTTTTTTTTTTTTTTTGAGACAGAGTCTTGCTCTGTCACCCAGAACAGAATGCAGTGACACAATCTTGGCTCACTGGTAGCCTCCACTTCTCAGGCTCAAATGGTTCTCCTGCCTCAGCCTCCCAAGTAGCTGGAATCTCCTGCCTCAGCCTCCCAAGTAGCTGGAATTACAGGAGTGACCCACCATGCCTAGCTAATTTTTGTATTTTTAATAGAAACAGGGTTTCATCATGTTACCCAGGCTGGTGTCTAACTCCTGACCTCAAGTGATCCACCACCTCAGCCTCCCAAAGTGCTGGGATTACAGGCATAAGCCACTGTGCCTGACCCCACTAACCTTTCTAAAAATAATAATTTTTTTTAAAATTGCTATTTCATATATATACTAGTATTTAAATTCATCCACCCTCCAAGAATTGGAAGATAATAATCATTTCCATGAAGCCTACAATAACAATGTTTTGGCTCCAGGCTCCCTCTACTGTCTTTGAAATAATAAACAAACATTTTATGGCACCCTCCTGACTAGAGTCCAGTATTTATGAAAGTCAAAACAAACACAATCTCATGCAATAATAAAGGATATCCTTAGTATGATAATCAGCGAGTTCTATATTTGAAGAAAGTTGAAAAAATATAATAAAATATTAATATAAATAAAGCCATATGAAGTTGCCATTATTTGACCATTTTTTATCCACAGATCGTAATTTAATATGGTTTGACCTAACATATGAACATTTAATTGTCAAAGAATAGTTTTGTGTGTGTGTGTGTGTTTTGCAGCAAAGATTGTTGCTTTTAATAAATAACATCTATTATTAAATTCCCTAAATACACTGGTTAATTTACATGATGTTTCTTGACAAATACTATAGGATATGTTAAGTCCATGTCTTATAAAAATATATGTTACATAATTTGGGTTTAGAAGAAAAAAAATCTGCCTTTAGATTAATAAATGTGAAAATACACAATGTTTCACATGAAAAGGTAAATGAAAGAAATGCAGCAAAGCCACAGGCTTGCAAGAGGAAAGCCGGAAATAAAACAGTTAACATTGTAACTGTGAGAGAAGGAAGTAGGACAATTTGCATAGACTTCAAACAATCTAACACTGTGAGAAAACCAGCAAATCCTGGAAAGAATTAGAGGTAAAAGCCAAAGTCAATACCCTTCAAATACCCGTGGTGTTTCACAGTAACTAACAAGAAAGCATCTTCTGGGTAAGTTCACACTTTGCACAAAATACATATTAATTCCATTATTGGTAGTTTTCTAAAAAGTTAGTATTTTACAGTTCAGAAATTTGGTGTCTTAAATTTGCTTTTGAAGTTAGAGGAATGCCTTTTGAAGTTGTGTTTTCATAGACCTAGAAATTGAGTCTAAAAATGACAGATGCCATCAAAAATTTGTTTACGAAGATGTTCATCAAAACCTTATTTTTATAGTTACAGTTCTCCAATTAAATCTTTTGTCTGGCATAGTGCCTGGTATATAGTAAGTACTCAACAAATATTTTTGAAACAATGAATTACATAAGAAAAGTTGGAAATTTTCAAATTGGGGACTGGTTAATTATGGATAAATATAGAGCCATTAAAAATGTTTTGAGACTTAAATACATTTGGGAAATGTTTAAGAGGGAAAGTTAAGCAAAAAAGGATGCTAGCACTGTGTACAACAACTAATGAAAATTTTATAAAGTATATATATATACATATGCACACAAAGAGATACAAGAAAAATATAATTATTGACTGAGGTTATTACTGAGAATTCTGGGTGGTTTTAGTTTTTTTGTGTGTGTGTTTCTCTGTATTAGTTTTATAATCAGAAAAACAGTAAAAGTGATTTAAACATTTTTAACATAATGCACTGCTATTCAGATCTGTAATAAAAATAGGTCCATTAAAAATCAGGGAGTTAGCCAGGCATGGTAGCTCACGCCTTACAATCCCAGCATCTTGGGAGGTCAAAGTGGGTGAATTGCTTTCTCCCAGGAGTTTGAGACCAGCCTAGGCAACACAGTGAGACCCTGTCTCTATAAAAAAAAGAAAAAATATTAGCCGGGGGAAGTGGCCTGTGCCTGCAGTCCCAGCTACTGAGGAGGCTAAGGTGGGAGGATTGCTTGAGCCCAGGATGCAGAGGTTGCAGTGAGCTGAGATCAGGCTACTGCACTCCAGCTTTCCAATCTGGGCCACACAGCAAGACTCCGTTTCCAAAAAAAATCAGGGAGTTTAACGAAACGTAGTTGTGGGATGATTCAATATTTTTATAAGACTGGCTCTTCCTCTTCACTTTATTGGAACAAATTCTCACTAGATAGACACTTTTGGTAATTCACTGAGTGGTGTAAATGCACAGGCCAGGGCTAAACTGTGCTTTATTTCCAAGTATAGCACCAATAATAACTTCTGCACAAAAGTTAGGTGAATTATTTCTCAAATTCTACAAATAAAGATGAAATATAATGTTTTTTTACCAGAGAGAAGTAAAATGATCATCATGGGTTCAAACAGGCACTGGGCCAGGCACTTTACCTAATGATCTTTAATTCTTACAGCTATCCTGAAAGTATTTTTTCTTTTCTTTTTTTTTTTTTTTTTCTGAGACTGAGTCTCCCTGTCACCAGTCTAGAGTACAGTGACGCGATCTCGGCTCACTGCAACCCCCGCCTCCTGAGTTCAATCGATTCTCCTGCCTCAGCCTCCCAAGTAGCTAGGATTACAGGCACATGCTACCGGCTAATTTTTGTATTTTTAGTAGAGATGGGGTCTCACCCTGTTGGCCAGGATGGTCTGGATCTCTCCACCTCGTGACCCACCTGCCTCAGCCTCCCAAAGTGCTGGGATTACAGGCGTGAGCCACCGTGCCCAGCCCAAAAGTACTTTTACTTATATACAGAATATTATAGTAGAAGTAATAATAATATCTGAGTTGTTGATGAATTGTCATGTGTGAGGCTCTGTGTCAGGGGCTTTATTTTCTCTCATTCCATGTTCTGAGCTACGGGGGCAGGTAGTGCATGTATTTCCACTTAAAGACCTTGAGGCCCAAGATGGAAGCCAGATCGCTCTAACCACTCCCCAATGTGGAGAAAATACTTTTATTCTCCAAAATCATTAATCCTTTTTTTTTTTTTTTTTCCTTAGGCAGGGTCTTACTTTGTCGCGTAGGTTAGAATGTAGTGGAGCAACGAAGGCTCACTACAACCTCGACCCCCTGCTACCCCACCCCATCCGTGCCACCATGCCCAGTTAATTTTTTATATTGTTTGTGGAGACAAGGTTTCGCTATGTTGCCCAGTCCGGTCTGCAATTCCTGAGCTCAAGCAATCCATACACCTCGGCCTCCCAAAGTGCTGGGATTACAGGTGTGAGCCACCGTGCCCGGCCCATTAATCTATTTTTGCCCCCTTTCAGGAACAATAAGTAAACATTAAAAACACTGCAGTCTACAAATGAACTTGAGCTTATCTGTTAGGAAGAAGAGTAGGTAGAGAAAGTAAGTTTAATCAGATTTGATGTTTTCTTACACTTCCTTGGAGTAGAACAATGGGAATAGCCGGTCAGCCATTACCCATTCATCAGTACTAAGCAAATTCAACAAAACTAATGTTTTCAAAGACATGCTGTTTTCCTTGTTTAAATCAAAAGTCCTCAATCAAACAAGACATTTTCTATGTAAGGGTGTTCCTGTAATAGAGGAGGCAGTGGCTTGCTCTGTCCTTATCAAACTAGGGATGTATTTGTCAATGATTCCACTGAGTTTTATTTTAATTTTTTTTAACTTCCATTTTGGCATTTTTCCCTTGCCTCCTACCTATCATCAGGGACTCACAGGAGATTTAAAGAATGAATGTGAACAGATGACTACAAGAATTAAAAAATAACCACGTCTCTGTAGTCTCTTGGTTTCAGAAATGGTCCAGCTGGTTCTATTTTTGTTATAATTTAAAAATTTGCCATTTATTAAGCATCTTCTACATGTCAGAGCTTTATATATTTTTATGTCATTTTAACTTCACAACCATCTACCAAGGTACATATCCTCAGCGGGCACCAACCCCAGAGATTAAATAGGGAGAACACCAAAACGTGTCTACCATGTGAAAGCCGAATCCAGATTTGAGTCCAACAAACAGGCGTCCTTCAAAACACGTTGCCTAGCAACAAATTTATTCTAGTTACTTCCGGCATCCCAAGTGGAGAAAAAGAACCAATTCCTTCCTAGAAGCCAAGCTTGAGGGACCTTTAGAATTCTCTAACAGAAAAGCTCCCCACCCCCTTCTGTGACCCAAGCAGTTACTTAAGAACTAATACCTCCCATTGGCCGGAGTGGCCAAGCAGCAGCTCCGGCAAGCCGGGTCTCTGGTTCTAATCAGTTGAATCTGACTTCTGGGAAAACTGGCGTCCAGCGACTCCCCGGGGAGGCCCGTAGTCTTCTTGGGGCGACCTCAGGTTGGGGGACGAAGTCCTGGAGGGGACACTTGTTCATCCACAACCAGAGACATCTCTCCCAACTCAAGACTTCTTTTTACCACCCAAGTTTAAAACTCTGAGGCCACCCCGCCCCCTTCCCTCTCCCTCGCTTAGAATCAGGTATGGACGCCAACTTTCCAACCCTCTTTCCTTCTTCGGCGCTTCTGAAGGTAACCGGTGCGCGTGCGCACGTCCGTCCGAGAATGTGTGCGCCCAGTTTCCCGCGCCGCGGGACCCCCAGGACGGCGGGGCTGTCCTTCGGCGAGGCCGCCTGTCCCGCTCCGCCCCCGCGGGCCTGCTTCCCAGCCCCGCCCCGGGCCCTCTTCGCCCCGCCCGCTCCGTCCCGCGCTCTCCGCCGCCCTCCAGTTTCGGCCCGCCCCCTCCTCGCAGCTCCCTGGCTCCCCGGGCTGCCCCCACCCCCGCCCCCGCCCCCGCCACCTCCCCCGCCCTCGCCCCTCCCCTCCAGCCCCTACCCTCGGCTGCTGCCCGAGCTTCCTCCGCGCGCCGTGCAGTCTCCACGGCTACGCGGCGTCCCCAGCGCGGATTCCCGAGCCCCGCGCGAGCACCAGGTAGCTGGGCTGATTCTCGGTGTCTGCCCTTCGGATGGTCGGCTAGAGAGGGCTGCCAGCGGGTAAGACGCGCCGAGGCCACAGCGGGTCGCCCTCTCCCCAGCCCCCACAGCGGACCCCCCCAAGACCTGGCGCCCGAGACGGCGGACTGCTCTACCACTCCGCGTCAGGGCTCTGGGCCACGCGGCTGCCAGGCGCCGCCGGGAAGGGAGGATGCGCGCAGCGGGGGTGAGGAAGAGCTGTGCGTGTCTACGCGGGTGTGGAGATTACTGGGCGGTTCTGACAGCCGTGTCTACACCACCATGCTTTGACCTGCCGCTTCACACGCACCAACTCCTTTCCCCCAGATAACGAAGATGACCCGTCCCATCCCAGGGCTTCCCTCCCCCTCCGTCAGTCCTCACCCTTGCCCGGAATTCTTTTACTTATATTTGGAAAATTAGTTAAGACATCACTACTAGCTAGATAAAACTTAATCAGCCATAAAAATTTCGATGGAATTTGGACAAATACCTACTCCCGGGCCTTGTTCTAATCTTACGTAAAATGAGGGCTTCGGACAAGGAATCGCTTCCACAGTCCAGTCCTCAGCCTTCTATGAGATGATGAAATTGACTTAAAACTTCCAAAATGTTGATATTGTTGTGTTTTGAATAATCAAAACTATTCTACACTGAGCTCCTGTAGCCTTTTACACGTGGGATAATGATCAATTTATTGTTTGGCATAGGTGTATTGGCTGAATCTGTTTTTACCCCAAGAGAACCCCTGAAGTTTTTTGTTTTGTGTTTTGTTTTGTTTTATGAATCTGAAAAGGACTCTGGAACTATCTTTTAATATGTTTTATTTTCCTAAAAACCAAATGCAATGATCTCCAAATCCAACTTATTTTTTAATTTTTATTTTGTTTTTGTGAATTGAAATTGTTTTGGTTTTTGTCGTCTCTGGAAAACAGCAATTAACAACAGCATTCCTCTTTAAATGTTGAGTCTTCCAGAGCTGAAATTCCAGCATCTCTGAAGGTATTTCACTGCATCCATTCCAGAATTCCAGAGCTTTCTACCTACCCTCACCAGTTGAGCCACATCCTCAGTGTTTTCTCCCCTCTTTGCCCCATCCAGTTTCAGTTCTGCATTTCGAACTGGCTTCATTTGTGATAGTTCACCTTCAGGACTGGCCTCCCTAGGCTGTAAATATTAATAATTGTAATAGGAAGGGGCGTTATAGTAATTGTTCTAGCAGGATATGTATGAGTGCTACTATTATTATTCATTAGTAGCTATTATTTTAACCCTTGCAATAACTCTTTGAGGTAGGTAGTATTTTTATCCACACTTTACAGTTAAGAAACTGAATCAGAGAGGTTAAGGAATTTGCTCTAGATCACACAATTTGCTGGGATTTGAACATAGACAACCTGACTCCAAAGTCTGGACTCCTAGCACTATATTATGCTGTAGAGGAAAGATATAAAACTAATAATTAGTCACTTTAAAGAATGAATGTAAGTGATGATCTTTGAAACCATTTATATTCATATTTGAAGCTATACTGTAAAATATTGTCCCCGCATCATGTAATGTTTCCCCCACCCAGCTCCCTGAGGATAGAGGATAGTGCTTAATCAGCTGTCTTTCCTTCTCGCAAGATTAACAGGGCCTGAGCATGTAGCTATCTATTTATTCATTCTGCCTATTAGACTACAAGGTGGCTTATAAAAACCAATAGCACAAAACAGTGAAATAATTGCATATGTGGGATGAAGAAAAAACATGTAATTTCTTCCAATATTACAAGAGAAATCTAAAATAAAAGTTTCTGAAGTTTGAATTGTAAATGTTGGTAATTCATTTTATAAAAGGTTTTTATTGTTGTTGTTCCAAAATATGTGGAGTCCAAATAATACCCAGTGGGGAGGTTCAGAATCTTGTGGCCTCTGTTTGCATGACTTCAAAACTACAATTTCTAATCTTGTGGCTAATTTGTTAATCCTACAAAGGCAGTCTCGTCCCCAGGCAAGAAGAGGGTTTGCTTTGAGAAAGGGTGGTTATCATCTTTGTTTCAATGTTAACTGTAAACTAGTTTCTTCCCAAAGTTAGTTTGGCCTATGCCTAGTAATGAACAAGGGCAGCTAGAAAGTTAGAAGCAAGATGGAGTCAGTTAGGTCAGATCTCTGTTACTGTCATAATTTTCTTACTGTTACAATTTTTGCAAAGGCAATTTCACCTCTGTTGGTCCAGTTTTGCCCCCACTCCCTGCTGATTCTCCTTAAGTATCTCCAGCCCATGAGCCCAAAAGAAAGCATTTGATTGATCCTGGTAATCAGTATTCCTCAGTTTGGGCAGTATGGGAAATTACGCTGTAGCATCTTAGAGGCAAGCATTTGTTATAGTACTTTGAAGCTTGCTTGACGACATACATATGAGAAGTTAGTATCCATTTCACCTGTAAGATTCTGAACTTCTCAAACTAGAGTATCTTCATCTTTGTGTCCCCAGAGCTTAGCACAGTTCTATCTGACATGTAGTAGGTGCTCATCAAATGTCTGTTTTATTTTGTACTATTTGTTGTCTTTTTCTTTAACGACAGAGTCCCATTCTCTTGCCCAGGCTGGAATACAGTGGCACAATCATAGCTCACTGTAACCTCAAGCTCCTGGGCTCAAGCCATCCTCCCACTTCAGCCTCTTGAGTAAACGGGACTGTAGGCATACACCACCCTGCCTAGCTAATTAGTTTTTTATAGAGGCAGAGTTTTGCTATGTTGCCCAGGCTGGTGTCAACCTCCCATCCTCAAGCTATCCTCTGGCTTCGACCTCCCAAAGTGTTGGGATTACAGGTGTGAGCCAGGATACCTGACCCAAATATCTGTTTTAGATAGACATTGAATAGTGTATGAAAAGTTTGAACTGTCATGACTGTGTTGTTCCCATTGCCACAGGGACTGTTAAAAGATAGTGACTTGAGTGTTCTGAAATAGTCTGCTTCTTCCCTGGAGTCAGAACTGGGATGTGAATCTAGTCTCTTTTCCTCAAGAGCCCCATCTTTTGAGTGTTACTCTGTACTGCCTCCCAAGCAATTCAGTTTGAGATGAAATGGACATTTCCTAGCTAATGATAGGGCCAGACTAACTGAGCGTGGGTCTCCATCAAGGGCTGGGATGTGTTCATCCTACGTTTTCACCAGGTGAAAATGGTAGGAGAATTATATGCATGAACGTTTCATCTAGGTGAAAAGTAGAATGTTGCAATCCATGAAGTTCCTAGAGCTAAAAAGAAAAGGACTGCTCTAAATATAAAGGTGGGCCAGTGCGGTGGCTCACACCTGCAATTCCAGCACTTTGGGAGGTCCAGACGGGAGGATCACTTGAGGCCAGGAGTTCAAGACGAGCTTGGGCAACAAAGCATGACCCTGTCTCTTCAAAAATTAAAAAAAAAGTAGCTGGATGTGGTGGTACACACCTGTGGTCTCAGATATTCAGAAGGCTGAGGTGAGAGGATTGCTTGAACCAAGGTAAACAAGGCTGCAGTGAGCCATGATCACACCACCACACTCCAGCCTGGGTGATAGAGTGAGCCTCTGTCTCAAAATAATAATAATATTAATAAATATAAAGGTGATGCTCTGTGGAACATACAGGTACCCACAGGATTGTGGAAATCTGTGAAGTGAAAGTGTGTCTCAGGAGAGATCATGTTAGATTTCTTTTGTTAAGGCCTTGTTTAGTTTGTTATTGCTTTGTTTCCTCTTTGGAGCTTTACTGCCCTAGAGAATCAGTGGAAAATCATTTATCCTGGAGTTTGGTCTTCCTTAACTGTGTTTCCCCAAAATATACCGTGCTGTTCTGATAGACTTTAGTTCTCTGTGAACCTCTCCAAGAGAGCTAATCGAATTAACATATGTAATGTCTGGCTTTGTCAGAGTTCCCCAGAAAGCAAAGCCTGAGGTAGAAGTTTATGTACAGCTGCTTTATTTAGGAGCATAAGTCAATGTGAGGGAGTTGGATTTAAAAAAATAAAAACTTAATACGAAATAATGACACTTACCTTTTATTGTCCACAGTCTTGGCCCTGAAATTTGTATTCCAGAAATCCCTCAGTAGGTAACAATTATGACAATTTTTAAAATCTGGCTTGGGGCATGGGAACAAGTGTTAGAGGAGTGAGCAACATGGATTGTTACTTAGGAAAATTTTAAGTGTGGCCACTCCCATACTTGAAAAAAAAACTTGTTTATTTTTCTCTTAACAATGAGAATGAAATTTATCCAGTTGTATAAACAGCTACATTATAGGAAAATCAGTCCTGTGATCAGGTAACTTTGAAAGGTAAAAATTCATCGAGAAAACATTGTACCTTTATATTAATAAACACATGAGAACTTACAAGATAAGGATTGTATTTTAAAATCAAAGGTCATTTCTATATGTGTTGGTTTAATACTTTATTTAAAATATCACATATTGAACTGCTGTGGAAGAATTTTTTCTTGCTCTGGTCACATGTACTCTAAAAGGTGTTTTTTATTTATTTATTTATTTTTGGAGACAGAGTCTTTCTGTTGCCCAGGCTGGAGTGCAGTGGCGCAATCTCAGTTCACTGCAACCCCTGCCTCTGAGGTTCAAGCTATTCTCATGTCTCAGTCTCCCAAGTAGCTGGGATTATAGGTGCCTGCCCCCATGCCTGCCTAATTTTTGTATGTTTAGTAGAAATGGCGTTTCAGCATGTTGGTCAGGTTGGCCTCAAACTCCTGACCTCAGGTGATCCACCCGCCTAAGCCTCCCAAAATCCTGGGATTACAGGCATGAGGCACTGTGCCTGGCCTTAAAAGGTTTTTTTGTTTTTTGGGTTTTTTTCCGTGACACCAGTAAACTGAATGTGACAGATAGTTTATTTACATGTTGTGTTGTGTTGTGTTGAAGTAGGGAAGATAAATGGTGTAAACATGAGCAAAGATGACGATTTCTAGGGTCATTTCCATAGGAAAGCAGAGTTCTTAGCCAACTGTTGATTGTACAGTATTTAGATCTAGATTTAAAGTCCAAGTTACGCAAAACCAAAAAGATAACAGAGAATTAAAGGCTTATTTAATGCATCAATTTCTTAAATGCAAAATTATTCTTATAGCTCTTTTTATAAATAAACTCCAAGGTGAGATGGGAAGAAGAGGAAAACTTAGTTTCTTTTTCTTTTTTCAACTTTTGTTTTAGGTTTGGGGTATGTGTGAAGGTTGGTTACATAGGTAAATGTGTCATGAGGGTTTGTTGTACATATTATTTCATCACCCAGGTAGTAAGCTCAGTATGCCTTAGTTCTCTTTTGTGCTTGTCTACCATCCCTCCCCTTCCCCCCGGAAGGCTTAATTTCTCTAGATTTTTTAAAACTAAATTTCATAATCTAGAAAAATGAGGTTTTCCAGTTAAAATGGAAATAAAGCTGCTAAATACTAAAACAAAATACATGCTTAATACCTAACTGACAGACTGTGTTCTGTGTTCTATTTGTATTTTAAATCTATACAAGTGTTTAGAGACTTATGAAGAAAATATTTTGGTTTTTGCAGGAATTCTGTAGACAAGAGAGATGCCGTAAAGGTAAGGTGAGAGTATACAATTTTTAAGGATGTTTTGGGTCTGTTTTACTGTCAATTTATATACTTTTAAAATAATCAGCTTTAGTATAAAATTGCATTTATTCTAGATAATAGAAATGTTTACATAAAGGCTATTAGTCAATTATTTCAAATATCTGAGACTAAAATAATAATATTAGTTTTTATTTCTGCTTCTATTTTAGACAACAAAGAACAAACAGAATGGCAGATTGCTAATGTTTAATCCAAAGGGTAAATGATTTATTACTTTGAAAGAGTATGTTTAACCATTATTTTGTCCTAAATATTAAGAAGAATATTGGAATGTTGAGTGTCATTGAATGACTTAGCAATTAAATCCATTATAATTTTGCCTATCTTTTTAAAAATCCTAAATATTTGCCATTTAGCAATCTATGTTAGGGACATCACTGTTAATAAAATGCTGAGGGTGTTTTTTTCTCTTTCAGAAAAAGTGATGATTGAATCAAATGAAGCAATGTCAGAGTAAGAAGATGTCTTTGTGCAGCTGATCTCTCCCGTGCCTTTTAAGCAATTAGAACTAGATAATGCAGCCATTTGTCACCCAATTAAATTTGAAAGGCCAGAAATGCATGGATTAGCCCTTCAGCTTTTGCTTCAGTCAAAGCAATTGTTACTTAGATAGAAGAACAGTTAAAATGAAAAATGAATTTTGATAAAAATGTAGAAGTATAGATAATATTCACTTCTGCCTTAAACACCCTGTACTCTATATTTTATTTGTATCATAATTTTCATTGCTCATTCCTATTTCCCTTTGATACTTATTGTTTCAGAATATTTCTTGAATCGAATATTTACTTTAAAATTAAATTATTTACTATAACATGAATTGTTACTACCCAATAAAGAAAATAATTACCTCAACTAGTTAAAGAAACTGGTGTTAAAAAAATTACACTACATCATTTCCAGCCTTTGGCTAAGATCAAGTGTAAAAAAAAACCTCACAGTACAGTATCAATTTAGTAACGAAATTTTAAGTATCTGCTCTGTTCAAGGCTCTGATTCTGATAATCTATTAAAGCCTTTCCTGTAATCATCTTCTACCTTCTGAAAAAAAATTCTGTATTTGTTCTTTGAAAAACTAATTTGCTGGGGATTACCAGCAAATTAGTAGGTGCCATTCTGGTGGGATTCTTCTATTCAAATTCGTATTGTTTTGGTTTATTCTAAATATTATTGGCTGGGAAAAATTCTGCCTTAGGCAACATATATTTTAATTTTCACATTGTCAAAACTAAAAATATCTACCTTTGCTTTTGTTATAAATTATATATATATATTACATATTGTATAATGTTTTTATATTAAAGAGAAAGTAATGTATAGCAAATCAGTGACACAGAACCTATATTTATTTTAATTTAAAATTACAACCAACCAGAAAAAAGCCTTGCTACATATAGTAATCTACATGTAATTTTATATGTGTCGCAGTACATTGTTGAAAATATTTATATAATCTAAAAAATGTTTAGTTGTCTTTGAGGGAAATTTGAAATATAACTTTCAGTAATAGTAATAGAAGTTACTAGATCATGGATGAAAAGAAATTACTGTTGTATCCATGAGCCCCAGTGTCCTTTGACCGGTGAGCAGTGTTGGAAGTACAGCAAGGGGTGTTCCACCTCCTGAGGTAGTTAAACCCCAGGGATAAATCAAATGCAGCCTAGCCCAAAAGAGAAAAGCAGAGTGGCTACTTGTTCTCTTGATCGCAGTCATGATTGCATCTGCCTCTCAAACTGCTTGCAAGGTCAAAATGATCATGTTCCCTTTAATTTGCTTGCAGGGAAGGACAAGGGTGGATATTGTAGTCAGTAAGCTTCAAAGGTGTGTCATTTTGTCAGCTCAGGTACTTTACCCAGAGCTGAAGGTAAAAAGAACAGTCCTAGAGAAAAATGATCAAGTAGGAGAAAAAAAAAAAAAAAAAAAAACCGTGGGGGACCTTTGCATGGGAAGAGCGTGACTGACCTCCAAAGCTGATGAATTTTTCCAGCATAGCTTCTGTTCCACTCCACCCTGCTGCTGGCTTCATAGTCCGACTGGCAAGTGAGACTTGCCAAAAGATTTCATTTAGGTTGCGTTAGGGAAAACTAAAAGTTTTTTCTGTTCTCAAATTCTTTGCTTTAGTTTTTGGGTTTTTCACTCCAGTCCCAGCCACAAGAAGTATGTGGACTCCATAAACCAGGAGTTTCAAACTTCTGGGCACACAAATCCCACATTTAACATTTTCTTTTTCCTTAGAAATCCTGTGTGGGAAAGATTTTGTCTACCCAGCAAATTGCTTTTCATTAACAAACTATTTTCAGCAGTAGAAATAAAATATGTATTTAATGCTGGATAAAGTTTTTTAGATTTTGGACCTTACTTGATTGATTGGTCAAGCTTTCAAGCATAAAGATTGAGAGGGAAATGGCTGAAGCAAATCCACAGCACTCAACACTGACTGAGGTTGAAGAAAATTGTATCTGTATCTGTAGGCCTTTTCTTACATGATCTTATGTTTTATCACCTTTTCTAAAATGAATAATGAGCTATCTTTTCCCCATTGTATACCTCAAGTAAATGCCTTTTTGGACGCAGACCAAGATTGAGAACCAAACTTAATGCCTCACCAACGCAGGTCTCTCCAAGTGTAGCTAAGACATTCGCAGAAAAGTAAGTTTTAATTAATTTTGTTTTTAGGCCCATGTTTGATGATTTTATGACAAAATTGAAAATAGACATCTCCTGAAAAATTATTAGTTTCAGTAGAAGTTTTGGGACACTTCCTAAAGATGCCCAGCACTTTAAGGAAAAAATTCGAAAACTTAGGTTATCTGCCCTCTGCCATAAATATGTTCCAGTGGAATATCTAACCTAATAAACTGTCATGTAAGTACTAAATTAAGTACTTTTGCATTTCCAAAGGACATTATTACATAAAATAAAATTTTAAATCTTTCTTCAGTTGTACTTAAGAAAAACAGATCTTTTAGAGCATTCTATTTATCTGTTTTTCTTAAATAGTTAGAGGCCTTATTATCATAAATCACTTTCCCAAATAGAAGTCAGTAGATTTTAGGTGAAGAGAAGATTGACCTTTGGGCCTCTGATTATTTGAAATTATGCAAGAAAGACCATAGAAAGTGAACAGAAAAGGAATTTATATCTTACTGTTAAAATCAGGATTTGGCCGGGTGTGGTGGCTCACGCCTGTAATCTCAGCATGTTGGCAGACCAAGGCAGGCAGATCACCTGAAGTCAGGAATTCCAGACTAGCCTGACCAACATTGAGAAACCTCGTCTGTTACTAAAAATACAAAATTAGCCGGGCGTGGTGGCACAGGCCTGTAATCCCAGCTACTCGGGAGGCTGAGGCAAGAGAATCGCTTGAACCTGGGAGGAGGAGGTTGTGGTGAGCTGAGATGTTACCACTGCACTCCAGCCTGGGCAGCAAGAGCAAAACTCCATCTCAAAAATAAAAAATAAAAATCAGAATTATATCATCTCTCACAGTTATTTTTTGACATGTTCACTGCTTCCAAATAGTAATATTCCATTTATCTTCAGGTCACAGAATATGTTGGCTGCCTCCATGTGTGTTTCATTAAAATTACTATAGACATTTCCAGTTATTCAAATACCTAGAACTATACTAGCTAAATTTCCTCTTTTAAGGATGTAATTTAGTGAATATGTAAGTACCACATTTCATTCTAAAACACATATTTTTCATATTTTAACATCTCTTACAATCAATGTCATCTTACACTTATGTTTGGCAATATTTTTTTCTTTTTTAGTGTACATGAAACAATGGTATGTTTTATAATAAATAGATGGTATATTAGACTGAATGAAATACTATAATTCAGGGAAGAAAAAAGACATCAAAGCCCTTTTATGTAGATCAGCTCTGAGAGCATATGAATTTTAGTAATCACTGGTTTGGTGACCTTTTATGTAATAGGAGTCTTTACAATCAGGAGATGGGAACAAAAAAAAAGAGAGAGAAAAAAAAATAGGAGTCTCACAATCCTGGAAACTGAGTATCTCAGTGATTCTGAAACTTTTCATATGTAGAGTTTCTTCTTGGATGCTTCGTTTCACAATTGGAAGATTGAGCGGGGCAGAGGCAGAATAAATGTAAATCATCTTTGCTGTGCGTTTTTCATTTCCAGAGAAGGGTTTTGCTGTAGCCACATATACTGGGGGAGTAAAGATTCCATTCTCATAGTATTAAGGATCTAACAAGCTGGTCAACCTGTTTGCTAAATCAGTGCAGAAGACCACTAACTTAACTACTAATGTTCTGGATTCACATTTCCATGAAGGAAAAAAACAGAGCCCCTGTAACATTAGGGAACAAATAATACTTTACATCTTTTCATATATTTCCATGCAAACTAGAAGGTGAATTTTAAACATTGTATGAAGGAGACAAATTGAAAGATTCTTGATATCTCAAAAAAAGAGACGGGTTGTTGTTTTTTCCAACAAGCATAGGTGCCTGTCTTTGTGAACAGAGGGCACCCCATTAAGAATTCCTGGTTCCTATGTGATATTTATTAAGATGAAGCTTCAAGTTTAAAGATTAAAAGGGAGAGTTAGCCCATTTTTAGTTAAGCTACTTAATGAAAGAGGCTGTTTTATAATATGACCAAGGGCTAATATTAGTGTTGGAATCTGCATAAGTGTAGCATTTAGCAGTTACAAAAATTGATTTATAAACTTCAAAACTCCAGGCTAATTTTCTTAGCTTTATTCCATCATATGACTGTGATGTACCAAAGACATTTCTATAGCTGATTATTTAAATGCTCTGTTTAAAGAACTCTGAAAAGAGTCTAAGAATTGTTATACAATAACAATGCCAGTCAGCAATAGAATTTTAATCATCAGTAAAATACTTTGTAATGCTTTTCCATAAAGAAGATACTACATTTTACCTATTTAGTTTATTGTTGGCATATTATATTGTATGTTTGTATTAAATATATTGTGTATTTAAAGCATTGAACAGAATTATGAACTAAGAAAATGTTTTTTCACTGTCTACTTTAACATATAGGAAGGAAGTCCCTTCTAAGAATATTGAAAATAAAGTCTCTTTAAAGAATACTGAAAATAGAGTATCTTCAAGGGGTATTGAAAGTAAAGATGTCTTAACAAATCTGCAGTCTGACCTACAGCCATCTTCCTGCTTAAAAGAAAGCACAGGTAATAACGTTTGTTTCATTGAATTAACTAACTATGGCTTCTGATTGAACTCTCCTTTTCCACCACCTTTGGAAGCTGACAATTCTGTAGGTCTGGGGCAGGTCATGAGACTCAGTGGTATTTCAAAGCCATGTTCTGGGTGATTCTTATATTCAGTCAGGTATGAGATCCATGGACATATATTACATAAGATGATAATTACAGAGTATTAAATCCTAGAATGAATTAAAATACCTTTGAAAGCATTAACACGCTCCATTCATTTAACAACAGTTGAAAGCCAGAGTGCTAGGTACTAGTTTGGATACAACAGTTGACAAAATATGGAAAGTCCTTGCCCTTGTGAAGTTTACATTCTAGTAGAAGACAGATAGCTGACTATTGAAAATAAATAACAGGCCAGGTACAGTGGCTCATGCCTGTCAATCTCAGCACTTTGGGAGACCAAAGCAAGAGGATCAGCCCAGGTAGAGCCCTAAAGTTTGAGACCAGACTGGGCAACATCGCAAGACCCCATCTTTACAAAAAACTTTAAAATTAAAAAAAATTGCCAGGCATGCTAGTATACACTTGTAGTCCTAGCTACCAGGAAGGCAGGAGGATTGCTTGAAACCAGGAGTTCAGGGCTGCAGTGATTATGATCACGTTTCTGTACTTCAGCCTAGGTGGGTGACAGAGCAAGACCCTGTCTCAAAAAGAAGTTTAAAAAATTTTTTAAATAAAAATAACAACAGGCTGATGCATAGATAGTAAGTTATCCAAATTGATTGTTCATAGTCAGCTACAGAATTTACTGTTTTCCTCTTTTTCCCTTTCTCACTACTGGACTTGACTAGTCTTAAAAAACAAAAACAAAACAAAACAAAACAAAAAACAGTTAAGAACACAAACACTGTAATCCTAGCACTTTGGGAGGCCAAGGCAGGTGGATCACTTGAGGCCAGGAGTTTGAGACCAGCCTGGCCAACATGATGAAACCCCGTCTCTACTAAAAATACAAAAATTAGCCAGGCATGGTGGCAAGCACCTGTAATCACAGCTACTCTGGAGGCTAAGGCATGAGACTTGCTTGAACCTGGGAAGCAGAGGCTGCAGTGAGCCAAGATCACATCGCTGAACTCTAGCATGGGTGACAGAGCAAGACCTTGTCTCCAAAAAATAAATAAATAAATAAATATAAATAAAAATCCCAAACAAATAAGCAAGGTAACTACAGGTTGTGTTAGGTGCCATAATGTAAATAAACAGCTCCTGGGAAGAGGATTGCTTTAGATCTCGGGATCAGGAAGCTTCTCTTCTGATGCTAAATGTTTGTGAAGTGAATGAGATAGTTCCTGTGACATCACAAAGTGCCCCTAATTCCTCATTATGACCTCCCTTGGTGACATCAGTGTGTTGAGTCAGTGCACAGGCTGGGTGTACACTGGACCATCAGGGTGGTTTTGAGCAGATGGAGACTGTAAATGAACCAGAAACAGGTAGATGGATGGCCTGAATATCACAACCATCACACTCTTGGGAGAACTTGTTATTCCTTTTCAGGATAGCGCTTTGGGTTTAGAGTCAGGAGTTTGTTGTAGATTCATAAGTTTTAACCTTTTTTTTTTTTTTTTTTTTTTTTGATCTGTGTTTTCTTAACATTGTCTTCTATGGCACTCTCCTAGATTTCCTCATTTTCTTCTTTCTACCACAAGTGTGTATATATTATTTAGAGTAGCATATAGCCACCTTTCCATCAAAGAAGACATCTCAGAGACTTCCTAGGCACTCAGAATCATACAAGAAGGGGTGGGTGTAACAAGTTCAGTTTCAAACCGTGAAAGACTTCCACAAAGCTGAAGGAGCCAGGAGGCTCACTCAGTAGTATTTCCCCAGGAGATGATTTAAACTTACTTTAATTGAAGTATATTTATTTTATATTACTAAAAATAATGCAAGACATAATTAAGAATATGGACTCTGGTCGGGCGCAGTGGCTCACACCTGTAATCCCAGTACTTTAGGAGGCCAGGGTGGGTGGATCATGACGTCAAGAGGTCAAGACCATCCTGGCCAACATGGCGAAATCCCGTCCCTACTAAAAATAAATTAGCTGGACTTGGTGTCACATGCCTGTAGTCCCAGCTAATCTAGAGGCTGAGGCATGAGAATTGCTTAAACCTAGGAGGTGGAGGTTGTAGTGAGCCGAGATCCCGCCACTACACTCTAACCTGGTGACTGAACGAGACTCTGTCTCAAAAAAAAAAAGAATATGGACTCTAGGGCCAAACTGACTCACAGATCTACCACTTAATTAGCTGTGTGAAGTTGAAGTTGCCAGTATATTTAACCTCTCTGTCCCTCAGTTTCCTCACCTATAAATGGGAATAAAAATAATACATAACCTCATTGATATTGAGAGATTTAAATTGAGTTAAAATAATGTAGTGTTCCAAATACAAGTTTGTTATGATAATTATGTTACTTTTATGAATGTATCAGTTTAATGAATGGTAATAGGATCTGGCAAAATTTGATTTGCAAACTTTCCAATGTTTATTGACTAAATTAGGTATATTCCCTTTTAGGTGAAGTGAGCAAAGATGCAGTCATTGTAAAGCAGGAGAAAAATAATGAATATTCCCTTCAGGATATTGATGATAAGTTGTCAGAATCAGCAGAGAATGATGGTGAAGATGATACCAGTGATGAAGATAATGATGAAGACAGCAACCCTAAAAAGAATACTCAGGCCCCACTAGAGTTAATGGCAGAAGTAAGTTTTACTTGTGCATATAATTTAAGAAACTTAAAAATACTAAAATAACTAAAGATCGAAGATTTCAAATCACTACTGTGAGAGCTAAAAAAGTGACTCTCCTGGAGGCAGAACACAGGATGGTGGTTGCCAGGGGGTGGACGGGAAGAAGCTAGAGATAGAAGTCAGCTAAGGGGTACAGAAGTACAGTTAGACGGAAGGAATAAATTATAGTATTCAGTAGCATAGTAGGGAAATTATAGTTAGCAGTAGTTTATTGTATGCTTTGTAATAACCAGAAGAGAAAATTTGTAATATTCCCAACACAAAGAACAGATAAATGTTTGAGATGATGGATAATCCAATTACCTTGATTTGATCATTACCCATTGTATGCAAGTATCAAACATGTACCCCCAAAATGTATATAATATATATCAATTAAAAAATAAACATTTTTTAAAATTAATAAAAAGATCCTTGTCCACACACAGATGCTTGCCTGGCTACTCATCTCTCTTACTATTTTCACCAGGTTAGAGGTAAAAGAATATTCTGGAAGGACATGCAGTATTTTTGGTAAGGCTGAGGCAGGAGTAAGGAAGTTTTGGTATAAAACTCTTCAAGGACTGCTTTAAGGAAAGCTTTCTATATACCCAGCACTATGCTAGTTGCTGGGTATATAGAAATAAATAAGAGAAGGTGTGATGGCTCATGCCTATAATTCCAGCACTTTGGGAGATTAAGGCAGGTGGATCACTTGAGGTCGGGAGTTCAAGACCAGCCTGACCAACATGGAGAAATCCATCTCTACTAAAAATACAAAAAAATTACCCAGGCACAGTGGTGCATGCCTGTAATCCTAGCTACTCGGGAGGCTAAGGCAGGAGAATCGCTTGGACCCAGGAGGCAGAGGTTGCAGTGAGCCAAGATTGCCCCATTGCACTCCAGCATGGGCAATAAGAGTGAAATTCCATCTCTAAATAAATAAATAAGAGAGACATGTCTTTGCCCTTGATAACAGGCACATATATAAATAATTACAGTAAGATTAAATGTATGCTAGTAATAAAAATATTTATTAAGTTTTCTGGGAATAGGGAGGATTAAGGGACTAATTGAGAAAATGAGGAGGAGCAAGGAATAAAAGGAGGATTTTTAGAGGAAGAGACACTAATGGAATCTTAGAAACTTGAAGGAAGAGGCAAGTATAGGAATTCATCTGTTAAAACAAGATAAGGCAGTACTGGCATCGGAAAAGGCACATATGAAGGCATTGAAGCCTGAAACATCACACTCAAAAAGTATACATACAGATTTACTGACAATTCTATGGAGAACAAAACAATTTTACCTCACTTGTTGTGATATCACACTGTACCTTTAATTATTATATACAACTTCATGTATGTTGTGTAATTGGACACTAATTTCTTTCCCATCCTTTGTATTATTTTGTCATACATTTACTTCTATTAATACATATGTTATAAGCCCCTTAATACTTTATTATTTTAAATGGTTAATTCTCTTTTAAAGAGATTTTAAAATCTCTCTTAAAATGTCTTTTTTATCTACCTACATATATTCAACTGCTGGTGTTCTTCATAGCTTTGTGTAGATCCAAATTTCTACCTGATACCATTTTCCCTTTACCCCAAAAGCTTCCTTTAGTATTTCTTATAATGCAGTTCTACTGGCAATAAATTCTCTCCGCTTTTTTTTTTTTTTTTTTTTGTCTGAAAAGGTCTTAATTTCACTTTCATTTAAAACAAATATTTAGTTAGAGAATTCTAGATTGCCAAGTTTTTTTAGTGCTTTGAAAGGTTGCTTCATTGTCTTATAGCTTGCATAGTTTCAGAAGATAATCCTGCTGTTCTTATTATTCATCTGTATATAATATGTCTTTTAAAATTTTTTACTTCCATATTACTTTATTTCACAATTTGATTATAACATGCCTAGGTATGGTTTTCCTCATATTTCTTTGGCTCATTAAGATTCTTGGATCGGTGAGTTTATAGTCTTCATCAGCTTTGGAAAATGTTCAGTTATTAATTCTTCAAATATTTTTTTCTGACCTCTGCTCCTCCTCTCTCCATCTAAGGTGCAATTGTTAAATGCTGAACCACCCGGTATTGTTCCAGGAGTCACCGATATTCCATTTAAATTTTTTTCAGTTTTTTTTTTCCATATGTTTTATTTTAGATAATGTCTATTGCTATGTCTTCAAGTTCATAATCTTTTCTTTGCATTTATAATCTGTTGTGAATCCCATCCTGCATTATATATTTGTTGCATTTCAGATACTAATCATCTCCAGAAGTGCTATTTAGATATTTTTATACCTATTATTTCATCATCATGTTCATATTTACCTCTTTTATGAGCATATGGCATATATTTGTAATAGCTGTTTTAACATGGCTACCTGATATTCTATCATCTTGGTTAATTCTAGGTCAGTTTCTACTGATTGTTTTCTCCTGCTTATGGGTCTTATTTTCCTGCTTCTTTGCATGCCTGTTTTTTGTTTGTTTGTTTGAACAGTTGGGGTCTTGCTTTGCCAGGTCTGGAGTGCAGTGACTACTCACAGGCATGATCATGATACACTACACCCTCAAACTCCTGGGCTCAAGCAATCCTCCTGCCTCAGCCTCCCGAACAGCTGAGACTGCAGTTGCACCCCACCACACCTGGTACCTGCCCATTATTTATCCAGTCGCAAACATTGTAAATTTTATGTTTTGGGGTACAAACTTTTGTTATTTTTCTGTAAATATTGGTGGACTTCTGTAAGTATTTGTTCTGGGGCACAGTTAAGATGCTTGGAAGTAGGTATTTCTTTTGACCCTTGCTTTTAAGCTTTGTTAGGGAGCCTCCAGGGCAGCCTTTATGTAGTGTAGGGACAGTACTAAGGCAGCGCCCTTGTGAGGATTTTCCCCAATGCTCTGCATGTTAAGAGGACCTTCCACTCTGGCTGGTAAGAACTTGAGCTGCTCTCCAGTCTGTCTGATAGCCAGTGATTATTCCACCTACTCATTCTAGTGATTCTTTCTCCGGGCTCAGATGCTTTATTCACACTCACATGCAGATCATTACCAGCCAAAGACTCAAAGAGAGACCTCTGCAGATGGCTGGAGCCCTCTGCTTTTGTGAAACTCCTTCCTCTTCTGAAAATTATAGCCACCTTGGCTACAATCTCTGCAGCCTAAACTATGTTATTTTAACACAGAGAAATCCCTGGTTTTTGTTTAGATTCTTCCTCATGCTGGTCCCTAGAAACAGGCTACAAGCGGTAAGCTAAGGCAATCCTAGGACCTACTTTATTTTCTTTCTCTCAGAAACGTGGCTGTCCTGTGATGTCTGTTGTCCCATATCTGAAAACCGTTGTTTCATATATTTTTGTCCAATTTTATGGTTGTTTAAGGAAGGACAATAAGTCTGCTCTCTGTTACTCCATCATGGCCAAAAGCCGCAATTAGATTTTCAGCACACACACACAAAATGCTTATGTACTTCTCTTCTTAGATAACTTAATCCAATTGCTAGCCATGGAATCATATAGGGAAATCAGTCATATTATATTTACTATATTTCCTTCCTAGAATAAAGCATATAGAAGAAATTTTGAAGCCTCCTTAATAATATAAGGTGCTTTTAAGAAGAAGAAAAAATGATGCCAAATATTAGAAAGACTTCACTTAGTCTTCCTTTTGACTAGACACCCAAATATTCATGAATTATAGAGCATTCAAAGACCCTATCTACCATAATCAAACTCTCTGGAGTTGCTTGTTTTCTCTTTTTTTCTTTCTTTTTCAACATCTAATTATAAAAGTAATCCATTAATTCATTTTCATGTAAAAATTCAGATAATATGAGATTGCTTACTTTCATATCTTATGTTGTACAGTGCATAAGATCTTCTCACAATGTGTCCCTTTTTAGTTGCTCCAACTTTATTTAGAGACGGAGTCTCACTGTGTTTCCCAGGCTGGAGTGCCATGGTGCAGTCTCAGCTCACTGCAACCTCCCCTCCCAGGTTCAAGCAATTCTCCTGCCTCAGCCTCCCAAGTAGCTGGAATTAGCAGGCACATGCCACCGGGTCCAGCTGATTTTTGTGTTTTTAGTAGAGACGGTGTTTCACCATATTGGTCAGACTAGTCTCGAACTCCTGACCTCATGATCCGCCTGCCTCAGCCTCCCAAAGTGCTGGGATTACAGGCATGAGCCACCGTGCCCGGCATAGATACATACTTCTGACTAAAACATTTGAAATTAGTTGTAGACACCATGAAACTTCACCCATAAATACTCGAGCATGGATCTTCAAAGTTCATTCTTTAGTGTAACACTAGATCCTTATCACAACTAAGAAAATTAGTAATAATTCTGTAATATCATATAATATTCCACCAAATTTAGATTTCCAAATTTATCTTTAAAATGGCTTTTCTAGCTGGATTTTTTTTTCCAGTCAGATTTCATCGGTGTTTATGCTGTTTAGTTAGCTGTTAAGCATGTCTTTATTTTGAATGTCCCAAGTAATTTTTTTTTTTTTTTTTTTTTTTTGAGACGGAGTTTCTCTCTTGTTACCCAGGCTGGAGTGCAATGGCGTGATCTCAGCTCACCGCAACCTCCACCTCCTGTGTTCAGGCAATTCTCCTGCCTCCGCCTCCTGAATAGCTGGGATTACAGGCACGCGCCACCATGCCCAGCTGATTTTTTGTATTTTTAGTAGAGACGGGGTTTCACCATGTGGACCAGGATGGTCTCGATCTCTTGACCTCGTGATCCACCCGCCTCAGCCTCCCAAAGTGCTGGGATTACAGGCTGAGCCACCGCGCCCAGCCCGTCCCAAGTAATTTTTTAAACCTGTCTTCAGCTTAATTTTGGAGTGTTAGATAATTCACAAGGGCTTTGGCAAAACATTCATTGCAAGAATTTCTTAATTTTACTGCCTTTTGAACTGGTAAGGAAATATATTTTTTGTTAACAAAAACAACAAATAGGTCAACACAAGGGAGTCTGAAATTGATTCCATACTTGTTTTTCTGAGGCTAGTATTATTAATATAATGCTTCATTAAATAGACTACATATTAGATGATATTAAGAAATTCCTAAATGTTTATGTATGATAGTAATATTTTGATTGGGTTCTATATTAATGTGAAATGAGATGATATCTATAAACTGCTTTAAAGTAATACAGACAGAGGTGAGGAAAGAGTGTGTGGTGATAATGATATAACCCCAATTTCAAAGCTGAGAATTGGCAATTTGGGTTTCTTTTACAATTCTCTGTACTTTTTTGTATATTTAAATTTTCCATAATAGATTTAAAAAATATAAAAATCTGTCCATGGTCAATTAAACTAGGCAATAACAAAAATAACAATAACTAATTAAAACCACTTAGAACTTTAAAAGAAATTCTACATGGTATGAATGTAAAAGAAAAATAAAAAATGAACTTAAGCTGGGCATAGTGGTTCACACCTGTAATGCCAGCACTTTGGGAGGCTGAGGCAGGACAATCACTTGAGGTCAGGAGTTCAAGACCAGTCTGGCCAACATAGTGAAACCCCACCTGTACTAAAAATACAAACGATTAGTCAAGTATGGTGGCACATGTCTGTAATCCCAGCTACTCAGGAGGTGGAGGCAGAAGAATTGCTTGAAACCAGGAGGCGGAGGTTGCAGTGAGCCAAGATCGCACCACTACACTCCAGTCTGTGTAACAGAGCAAATCTCCATCTCAAAAACAAACAAACAAACAAAAAACCTTAAAAGCTATTTGGAAAATATCGATCACCACAACACTAAATATTAAAATTTTGAAAAGAGCTTAAAATTTCAAATGCTTTGATGATGGTGATGATGATGATGATGATGATGATGATGATGATTCAAGGAAGAATGGCAATAAATGAACTAAATATTAATGCCAGAAACTAGAAAAATAAAATAAACATAAAACAAGAAAAAGAATTAAAGAAACTTTAATTCAAACTAAAAACTAAATTAATGTGTCAAGAGCTGGATATTAGACAAAAAGGATGACACAGATATAAACTACTAGGTAACATAATTAAAATGGAAGAAAACCACAAATAGGAATGAAAATGAAAATGTCTTAACCTAGATAAGAATAGATTTTGAAAACATAAGAATTCTGTTACATGAGTTGAACATACCATGTTAATTAGTATGTGAATGAGAATTTTGATGAAGTTAATGACTTACAGAAAAATCTCTGGAAGAGTTATATTTACATTAGAAAAAAAAAGTTTTTAACCCATGGGAGAAACTGAGAAAACTGGTAGAGAACTACATCTGAAAACAGTACCTAGGTATTTATCAAATATCTAGAAGTGTATGAAAAGGGTCTCTTATACATTATTCTATGCCTCTATCTCTTACAGAATAAAACTCATATACCTGCATGTGGTTCAGAATATGTCACACACAAGCAAGAAAAATCATCAAAGTATAGGGTTTGTGTGTGTGTGTGTGTGTGTGTGTGTGTGTGTGTGTTTTGATGGAAGCAGTCTAGCTAGTAATAGAAGATTAGTAAATTGTAGCCTAAGTAAGTAAAAAATATGTAAGAATATTTCATGCCATGGGGAGACGATGATCACAATCGGTTTTTTTTTTTGTTAAGTTACTAAATAATCTTAAATGTCATAAATACGTTTGTGTTCATTTGTGGAAAATAGTATTTGAAAGAATATACATGTAGATGTCAGAAATAAATGTGTTTATTTTTCATAGATGGTAGAAATGTAAGTGCTTCTTAATTGGGGACAGAATGTGTTTATTTTGCTTTTAAATTTTCTACATAAAAAATACTGTTTTGTAACAAGAAAAGTATAATAAAAATAATAAAAGCAAATTGGATGCTATAAGAGCAATACTGGAAAATATCAAATGTACATATTGTATGTCTGCATTTTTTTCACCTGTCATATGATTATGGACTAAATTACAAGTGAAACCTGTTATCTGAACCAAAGGAATATTAAAGTGATTAATGTCTTCACTATCTGTGCCAGTTGAATCAAATTGTTCAGTAGCACATACACAGTATGGTTGAAGGAAAGCAGAGGTATCATCCTTACCGCATGTGGCTTTGCCATCAGAGGTCCTTCAATATCCGTGATTAATTGGTTATAGACTAACTCCTGGAAAAACATATGGAAATGTTGAAAGCAAAATAATTATTAATGGAAGATTTTCTAGGGAGTTTAGAGTTGACAACATTCTTCACTTATTTGAAGAATTTAATGTTTTTCAGTTCCTGAGAGCAGAAATGGCCCGAGAGTACCATCTGGCAAAAAAATTATGTCAGATGAGTAAGTACAAAATACTTTCATATTTTCTCATCTTCTCTTTTTCAAAAATGAATTCCATAATATGTAAGATGGCATGATTATCATAAGTTTAGTGAATTGTCTCAGTGATCACGATCATGTCTCAGTGATTCCTTGATAGTAAACTAGGTTTATTGGTATATGGACTAATTCAGACTTCTAGAGTACATTCTAGTGGAATAAATTAATGTAAACTAATATTGACTAATTAGCACCACTGGAAAATAAGTCAAAAATTTCACCCTCATGATGATGGGTTAGTAACTTTATACCTTTAGTTGCAGAGAAGTGTCAGGTGATACAGCACTCAAACCTTAACTGAACATGCATTATTTACCCCACAAACATTGAGTGCCTACATGTGCCAGCCACAATTCCAGGCACTGGAAATACAGAAGTCACTCGGATGACAATCCCACATTTGTGTCTAGTGTTGTAAAGACAATAAACAGATGAATAGCGTGTCATGAATAATAGATGCCATGCTGAGATATAAAGTAAGGAAGAAGGAATAGAAGGTACTGGAGGAAGGCAAAGCAGTTTTAAATAGGATGGCCCAGGGAGGCCTCAGTGAAAGACTTGAGGAATAGCCAGTGAATATCTGGAGGAAGAGTGTGCCGGGGAGGATGAATGGCAAATGTGCTATGACAGGAGTGTGCCTGAAAGGAATAGCAAGGAGGACAGTGTAACTGGAGCAGAATGAGCAGGGGGAAGTGTGATAGGAAATGAAGTCAGAGACGTCATGGGCAGGGGGTTGTCAGATTGCATAGGATCTTTTCTTGATAGAAAGATCTTCCTGTTTCCTCCGAGGTGGGAAAACCGCGGGAGGCTTTTGAGGAAAGCAATGATATGATCCACCTTATTTCTCTTTCTGTCTTTGGTTTTTAGTGGCTTGACTTGATGTTCAAAATAGTTGTGGGTTTTTGTTGCAGTTATACTGTTTGGGGCATTTGCTGAGTTTCTTAACTCTCTGGGTTGATGTTTCCATCAGCTTTGAAAATTTCTTGGCCATTATCTTTTCAAATACCATTTCTACCCTATTCTCTCTCTTCTGTTCCTGGTCTTCAATTACATATAAATTTGACTTTTTTTTTTCACGGTGTCCCATGTGTATCTTATACTCAGCTCTGGTGGGGTTTTTTCCTTTCTTTGTTTCTTTCTTTCAGATAGCTCTGTCACCCAAGCTGGAGTGCAGTGGGGCAATCTCAGCTCCCTGCAACCTTTGCCTCTTGAGTTCAAGCGATTCCTATGCCTCCACCTCCCAAGTAGCTGAGATTACAGGCATGTGCCACCATGCCTAGCTAATTTTTGTATTTTTAGTAGAGACGGGGTTTCCCCGTGCTGAACTGGGTGCATGTTGAACAGAGCCTTGAACTCGACCTCAAGTGACCCGCCCACCTCAGCCTCCCAAAGTGCCGGAATTACAGGTGTGAGCCACCGTGCCCAGCCTCCCAATTATCTCTTACTTTTAGCCAGAGGAAGAGCACACTTGATGTTTCAGTGCCCCCTTGGGGGACACCAAGATACTGAGCAGGAGTCATAACATTAAATGGATGATGCGGAATTATGAATACTCCTCAAGGCTGATAGGAAGTAGTAGAGAAGGACCTGTGGAGCGAGATGTAAAAAAGTGAATAAAATAGTCTAGACAACTCTGAAACTAAGAGTAGAAATCTTTCTGGCCTCTAGGGTTTTGGTAACATACTAACATCCTAAGTCTATTGGTGAGTTCCAAAAGAAAGGTGACACAGTCACATAAAGGATCAGCAGAAAGGAATAAATAGTGCTGAAAACGGCAGGTCAAATGAAGGTAGAGAACGTTGTTAAGCAGGCGATGACCAGGGTGTAGACTACAGTAAAAGCTATCAAGATGAAGAGAAAGAAGTAACATCACTTTCCCTTATTGGAAAGATGTAAAAAAAAAAAAAAAAAAAAAAAAAAAAAAAAAAAAAAGGCATCTCTACCATGGAAGAGGTTACATTAAAAAATAAAAATAAAAACTTCCTTTGTGTTCCGATGAGACCTTTAGTAAAGGATGTCATGTAGACAGGTGGATGACATGATAAAGGATTAACAGACATCTAGGCACACAGTCTTCTCATTAGCAAAGTCTCCATATTTGGCAGGATTTGTACCTTCTTTGGGAAATGATTATGTTCATGAAACACTTTGGCTACTGGCCCATGAGGGAAGCCATACTGAGGTGACAGAGATTGCATTCTATGGATAGGAGGTAGAAAATAAAATGAGGGCCGGGAGTGGTGGCTCATGCCTATAATCCCAGCACTTTGGGAGGCTGAGGTGGGCAGGTCACTTGAGGTCAGGAGTTCAAGATCAGCCTGGGCAACATGGTGAAACCCTGTCTCTACTAAAAATACAAAACCTAGCCAGGCATGGTGGCACATGCCTATAGTCCCAGCTACTCAGGAGGCTGAGGCAGGAGAATCTCTTGAACCCGGGAGGCAGAGGCTGCAATGAGCCGAGATTGTGCCACTGCACTCCGGTCTGGGTGACAGAGCGAGACCATGTCTCAGAAAAAAAAAAAAAAAAGAGGATCATTTCTTTTCCAAAGCACCAAATATAAGTGCAGCATTTTCTATATTTGCACTGAGATATACCTGTAGTATAATTGTTAGTGTTTATCACTTTGTGCATTTCACTTGCTCTGAGTGACAGTTCAATTTCATTCTAAGGATCCTGTTTGCTGAAACACTGAACCTTAATAACACACATTCTGTTGTCCATTTTCAGTCCTAATCTATGAACCAGAAAATCCTGAGGCCAAGGAGTTTTTCACACTTATTGAAGAAATGTTGCTGATGGGTAATTTTAAAAATTGAAATTCCTTGTTTCTTATAGAACTATAAGCAGTCACTCTTTAAAAACCCATTATCCCGGGAGATTGTCGATACATCTTTAGGAAGTGGTTAAGAAAAGGCTAAATGGCTGTCTTAAATGGTTTAGTGAAACAGCTTGTCCTCTGTGGATGGTCAGAGTGACCCCCTTCTTTCTGTGGGATAGAACTGCCCAAGCAATGCAGGCTCCCTAGGCACCAGGCAACAGGTACTGACAAGCAGAACAGGCAAACACGTGTTAAAGGAGTTACCCACAATTCCAAAGGAAGCCAAAGCCTCTAAATTGCCCTGTCTCACTTCCTTTCAACGGATTATTTTACTGTTGTCAATGAAATTCTGTGATAGAATTCTATGAAATCATTCAATAGAAATTCACTGACAATAGTAAAATTATTTTTGTAGACCTATGTTTTAAATTAATTTTAAATCAAAAATACCTGTATGCCAGTAAAAATACGTTTCTTCTTTGTACTACCACTTTGACTCTATGTGCAGTTAGCCAAGTCCAACTCAGTTCTTAACGTTGCAAATGTATGTATTTCTTGGTAGAGGGAGGGGCAAGGAGAATTATTTTTCAGAGCGAATAGTAAGAAACACTTTAATCCTCTTCCTTTTTGTGGCAGAGAAAACTCAGAATCGTGAGAAAGACAGTGAAGATAGTGATGAAGACAGCAGCGGTGAGAGTAAAGGAGAAAGTGACGAGGAACTGAGTGATGGGAGCTCTGACGAGGGTGAAGATGGATCGTGAGTGCTGCTGCGATACTTAAAGTTTCATGTATTTTCATTAATGTATATCATGCAAACATAAAGATGAGAGTGGCATTTTAGTCTAATTGTTTCTTATTTGATACAGAGTTTAAGTTACCTATATTCTTAGCTTAAGACTCTTCCTAATATTTAGGCCTTAGCTCAATATATGAGTTACTCAAATGGGGAAAATAGTTGAAAACACTTACACAGCACTGTGTGCCAGGTACTGTTCAAACTGCTCTACATACATTATATAATCCAGTAACCCTATTAAGTACTATTATTATGCCCATTCTACAGATGAGAAAACTGAGGCACAGAGAGGGTGATAATTTGCCCAGTGCCATACACCTATTTGTTTGTAGAGCCTGTATTTATGCATGGACATTCTTGCCCTAGAATTCATGCATTTAGTCCCCTATAAATTACCACCACTTCAGGTCCTTTTATATCATTCATCATATGTTTGTTTGTTTGTTTGTTTGTTTAAATATGGGGTCTTGCACATTGACCAGGCTGGTCTCGAACTCCTGGCTGCAAGCAGTCCTCCCATCTTGGCCTCCCAAAGTTCTGGGATTATAGGCATGAGCCACTGTGCCCAGCCCATTCATTGTATGTTCTTTACAGCATGTATCACTGTCTGAAATGCTTGTTTAATTGTTCATATCATCTTCTCCCTACCTGCCAGAGATTCTAACACCCATAAAGCAGGACTTTGTTGTTTTCCTCATAATATCCCTAGCAACTGGACAGGTGCCCGGCAAATAATAGGGCATATGTACCAAACAAATGAACAAATGAAGTGAAAGTTAATGGAAATATGTATATTCTTTCATAAAACATTTACAAGACTTACACTTCTTACATATCAATCTATGTTATTTTGCTGATTCTGTAGTCCTTGATGAATTTCTGCCACCTTCAAATTAGGTTGTAAGGTAACTGTCAGTCTGTTTCACTGTAAGAGAATACCTGAGGCTCAGTAATTTATAAAGAAAAGACGTTTGTTTAGCTTACAGTTCTGCAGGCTGGAAAGTTGAAGACTGGGCAGTTGAATCTGGTAAGGGCCTCATGCTGTTTCCACTCGTGGCAGAAAGTAGAAGAATAACAGGCAAGTGCAAAGAAATCACATAGCAAGAGAGGAAGGAAGAGAAGTCAAGGAAGCCAGGCTCTTAACAAGTCACTCTCATGGAAACTAATCCATTCCTATGAGAGCAAGACCTCATTCACCCCCTGCTCCCAAATTAACCTACACATGAGGGTTTCAACTCACCTGCCTGACCCAAACACCTCCCACCTCCCAACTTCACCACATATTGGAGATCAGATTTCAGCATGAGTTTTTTCTGTTTGGTTGGTTTTGTGTTGTTGTTGAGACAGGGTCTTGCTCCATCACCCAGGCTGGGGTGTAGTGGTGTGATCATGGCTCACTGCAGCCTTGAACTCCTGGGCTCAAGTAATCCTCCTGCCTCAGACTTCTGAGTAACTAAGACTACAGGCACATGCTATAATACCCCTAGCTAATATTTTTTGAAACAATTTTTGTGGAGACAGGGTCTTGTTATGTTGCCTAGGCTGGTCTCAAATTCCTGGCCCCAAGCTATTCTTCCACATCGGCTTCCCAAAATGCTGAGATTATAAGTGTGAGCCACAGTACCCAGCCCAACATGAGTTTTGAAGGGGACAAACCGCATATAGACCAAAGCACTAACTGAAGTCAAAGAAAAATATTCCTAAGTTGTTTAGGAATATGCCAATTTGATTTGAGGGGAAGCATTTTGAATTATCTTCCCCTCAGTGAAGTGTCACAACATATCCAAAATGCTTGCAACACTGTTTATTCTTTAGGCATTTTGTGGCCTGCTAACATTCAGAGGAAGAAAATCTGCAGTGCCAATTCATAGGGATGACCAAAAGAAATGAAGACGGATATGTATGATCCTCTAGTCACCCTTTCTTAATCTGCAGTAAACTCTCAGGACTTCATGCATAAATAACCAAATAGAATCAGAGGTCTGGCTGACACCGATCTCAGGAATTACCTGTTCTTTTCATTTTCATTTGGGTTTAATATTCATTCCACCATAGGAAAACCACCATATGTCAATCTGATGATGCTTACTTGATTAAGGAGAACGCTCCATAACAAGTTCATAGTATACCCTAAAACTGACGTTGAAGACTAAATAAGTTACAATGACATTTTAGTTTTCTTTTAAAGGAACAGGGAAGCTTTGAGGAAGAAACTCTCTGAATAAAAAGCTATGATATCACAAGCCATGTTACAGCTAAATCTATGAATTTATGAGGTTTGTTCATTCAGGATCATCAGTACCCCCTATCCATACTCTTCATTCTATTTGCACTCATTAATCAATGAAATGGCAAGGTGACCTGGCAATAGGCGTGTGTGTCTGTATGTACTAATAATAACTAAAAATCTGCAATGTATTTTTTACATTATTTAACCTACTTGCCTCTCACAGTCATCTGAAGAACATGCCATAATTCCCATCAATTACACAAATTGAATTTGATGTGATTGAGGGATCTAAGGTTAAATATTGACTAGAATGTTGGAATTCAGATGAGGAAACTGAAACTTAAGAGATGCTTGGTTATGCTCACATGAGAGAGATTTTGTGAACCTTGATCCAGTGTTCTTTGCTGCCTCATACAGATCTAACATCTAGGAACTATTTAATAGTCTGCCAATGAGTTATGTCTGTGTAGACAGTTCAGTTCCAGACCTGTGACTTCTTTTTTTTTTTTTTTTTTTTTTTTTTTTTGAGGAGTCTCACTCTGTCACCAGGTGGAGTGCAGTGGCACAATCTCGGCTCACTTCAAACTCCGCTCCCGAGTTCAAGAGATTCTTCTGCCTCAGCCTCCTGAGTAGCTGTGACTACAGGCGTGTGCCACTACACCCAAAAAATTTTTGCATTTTTAGTAGAGATGGGGTTTCACCATGTTGGCCAGGACGGTCTCAATCTGACCTTGTGATCTGCCCACCTTGGCCTCCCAAAGTGCTGGAATTATAGATGTGAGCCATGACGCCCAGCCCAGACCTGTGCCTTCATTGTAATGATGTTAATGAACCCAAATATCCAACAGTATGAGAATATATAAGAATGCCTACTCAAAAGACTTGAAAGAGGAAACCACTGAAAAAGTGTCATGTATTTATACAATAAGTATTTGCTGAAGGCCTTCTAGATATTCTGTAGGGAACAAAACCCAGTCTCTGCTCTTAAACAGCACTGCTGTAAAATACAGGTTATAAACACTGCCATTGTGGGAGCATGTGGGAAGGCAGGAGTGGATGCCTAACCCAGTCTAGGCATCCAGGAAAAGCATTTGGAGTGAAGTGAAGTCTAAGCTAAGATTTAAGTGGGAATTAGCTATAAGAAGAGGTGGGTAGACAACAGACAACAGTTTGAGGAGGTAACACAACTTGCAAAGGCTCAGAGACACAATCTGAGTCCAGAAAGTTAAACAGGTAAGGTTGGATTGTAAAATGAAAATGAACCAGTTAGAGTGGAGAAAGATAAAGCTACAGTGATTAAAAAAAAAAAAAAAACTGGGTGATGGAGGGTCTTAGAAGCCACGTTAGTGTTTGGACTTTATCTTAGAGTAATGGAGGCATTGAGTGATTTTAAGAAAAATAGTTGTATTTTAGAAAGAGCATTCTGGTAGCCAGATAGAAAAGATGTCTTCTTAAACTGCACATCACCATCCATTGGTCAGTTTTGAAATCATTGCAGTAAATCACAAATAGCTGGGGTTTTACAAAATTAAACACATAGAAAATTTTAGCATATACTGCAAAAGAGTATGGCAAGTATTGTTTTATGAAACTTTTGTTTCAGGAATGTGTGCATTCCCTGGATCTTTATGTGAAATGTATTTCTTCCTATGGATCCGAATGAAATATAAAATTTGAAAGTATAGAGAACAGATTAGAGTTGAATACAGACTCTAGCAGTTCAAAGTTGTAACCTGAAAAGAGACAGTAGCAGGGAGATAGAATTGAATGGAGGGCTTACTCTGCAGGCGTCCCCACACTTTTTACACAGGGGGCCAGTTCACTGTCCCTCAGACTGTTGGAGGGCCGCCATACTGTGCTCCTCTCACTGACCACCAATGAAAGAGGTGCCCCTTCCTGAAGTGCGACGGGGGGCCGGATAAATGGCCCCAGGGGGACCGCATGCGGCCCGCGGGCCATAGTTTGGGGACACCTGCACTAGAGGTAGAAAGAATTGGCAGAAAAATTGGTGATAAAATAAATGTGGTTAAGAGGTAGAGATGAAGGATGACCCTTAGTGGGAGAACAACGTGTACGGTGATGACAGCCCCTAAAGAGAAGAACACAGGAAAGCAGCTTTGCTGAAGAAGAGGGAGGTTCACTTGCACAAACTGACTATGGAAAATGTATTCGTTTCTTACTGCTGCTATAAAAAGTGACCACAAACTTTGTGGCTTAAAACAACACAAGTTTATTATCTTACGGTTTCGGAAGTTCTAAGTCCAAAATGGGTCTCACTGGGCCAAAAGCAAGGTGTCAGCAAGGCATTCCTTCTAGAGGCTCTGTGAGATAATCCATTTCCTTGCCTTTTCCAGCTGTCAGAGCCCACCCATATTCCTTGGCTCATGGCCCCATCTCTCCACCTTCAAAGCCAGAAATGTCTGACCAAGTCCTCTTCAGGCTGCCGTCTCTCTGTTCTCTCTCCTGCCTTTTTCTTTCGCTTTTAAAGACGCTGATAATTACATTGAGTCCACCTGGATAATCCAAGATAATCTCCCTATCTTAAAGTCAGCTGATTAGCAAGGCTAACACCATCCGCAACCTCAGTACCCCATTTCTATGTAACCTAACATATCTGCAGTTTCTGGGTTTTAAGACGTAGACATCTTGGGAGTAGAGGGGTGCATTATTCTGCCTAATTCAGGAAGTATTGGGTACGTGTTAACTAGTTTTCATGGTATGAAGCTTAAAAAAGACACTTGGGCTGGAAATACACCTTTATTCAGAATCATCAATTAGAGATAGTAGTCAAAAAAACAGAGTGGAGGACCCATGGAGAGAGTGTAGTTGAAATAGAAGAGGCTTAGGGATGGAATTATAGTGATCACCAGCATTTAAATGGCAGTCCATGAAAGAGAAGTGCACGTAATAGACTGAGAACAACCACCAAGAGGAAAGTGGGGAAAGCAAACATGGTGGACACCGTTGGTTTCCTACTCAGCAAATATCCTTTTCCCGACATACATAGCCATGAGACTCGGCCAACCAGTGCCTGGGCATTTCTCTGGTGACTGTTATGTCCCAGAGACGGACATGTGACCTACTTGTCCTAAAAAGATTGAGGACTGTATTTCATGATTGGGAGGAGATAGATGTTCCTCTGTTCTTCTGGTTAAGAACCAGGAAGCATGCTGCCCTAGCTACTGCTGGCATCATCTCATGATCATGAGAGAAGCTAATCTTAGAAAGAAGCTGATGCTGTGGATGGGAGAACAAAAGGAACCTAGGTCCCTGATAATGCTCAGCTGCCGAATCGACAGCCCTGGGAGCCAGCCCTCTGAGTTTATGTTATGAGATAAACTTTCTTACTGTTCAAGCCAGTTGGACCAAGCTTTCTTTAATCTGCTGCCAAAAGCCTCCTAACTGATATTGAGCATCACCACAGAAACCCGGAAAAAGAGTTTCAAGGAGGCTGCCAAAACCTGCTTTGCCAAAAGTTGCAGAGAAGACAAGTAACATAAGAACTAAAAGAGTCATTGGATAGCAACGAAGAGGCGGTTGGTGATTTAGGGAACGCTGTGTCAGTTGAGTGTGGATAGGGGGGTGCCATAGTTCAGTGAATTTGAGTACATTGGAGGTCAGAAAAGAAAACAAGGAAAGAAAAAAGATAAAGTATCATTGGAAGACACAAGGTAAGTGGAGTATTATTTGTAAAACATTTAAGATGAGCACGTTTACCAGCGTAGGCAACATGGCAAAAAACATCTCTATAAAACACATAAAAACTAGCCAAGAGTGGTGACATGTGCCTGCAGTCTCAGCTACCTGGGAGGCTGAGGCAGGAGGATCACCTGAGCCTGGGAGTTTGAGGCCACAGACAGCCATGATATGATCGCTGTACTGCACTCCAGCCTGAGTAACAGAGGGAGACTCAGTCTCAGAGAGAGAGAGAGAGAGAGAGAGAGAGAGAGAGAGAGATGAGCCTAAGCCTGTTTAATAGAATGGATGATAGTAACAGCTACTGATAACATGTAATGTATTAGGCACAATACTAATTATTCATATGCTAATGTTTTTAGTCCTTATAACATGTGTATGGGATAGACAATATTATTCCCAATTTACATCCAAAGAAAGTGATGTGTAGAGAGCTTTTCTTTTTCTAAAAATCACATACTTGGGAACTGGCAGATTCAAGTCCAGGTCATTTTATTCTAATACCCTGCCCTTCATGCTATGGTTTCCTCCCTAAGAGGCCAGTGGAGAGGAACAGATTGGAAAAAGAGATAACTTACAAGGCATTTATCTAATACATTAGAAGAACTAAACACACGGCAGTGTTTAGTTGAACCACTACCCCAGCAGTCCAAACGTGGAATCAGAGCTGCATCCCTTCTCCAGTATTGGTCCTTTCATAGCCTTCAATTACCCTATATTATCCTATATGCTAAACAAAGTGATAACCTGTCTTGATTGATTGATGGACTGATTGAGACAGGGTCTTGCTCTGTTGCCTAGGCTGGTGTGCAGTAGCATAAACACAACTCACTGCCTCAAACTCCTGGGCTCAAGTGATCTTCCCACCTCCGTCTCCCAAGTAGCTGGGACTACAGGTACACACCATCACCCCTGGCTACTTTTTAAATATTTTGTTGAGACTGGGTCTTGCTATGGTGCCCAAGTTGGTCTTCAATTCCTGGCCTCAAGGGATCCTTCCACTTCAGCCTCCCAAAGTGTTAGGATTATAGGTGTAAGTCACCATGCCCAGTCTGCATTTACTTTAATTACATTTTGTGTCCCTTTAGCTTTATCCTGGTGGACATGCAAGATAGATGTAACTTTGGTATTTGCCCGAAATATTGATGTTGGTCAAGGGGAAGCACTTGAACAGAGTTCATGGTACCAGATGTGAAGTAAAGTCTACAGACATTGGAAATGTTGTGGGACTCAGGGAAAAAGTCCTATACCAGGAGGTCTTGAGAATTCACAAGAGGCAGGTAAGATAAGGCCTCCAAGGCCAGACTAAGGAGTATAAAGGTCTCTCTGATTGACCCTCCTAATAAGCACCCCACGCAAGTCCTCATAGGATATGAGTTATAATGGAGCAGGGGAGTGTGCAGAGCTTGGAGGAGCTTGGAAAGTAAAGCACTGGGAGAAGAGATTGGCTTGCATAGCCTTGTTCAAAATGTACCCTTCTGAACCAAGAGACGGCTTATAACACATATCATAGTGGGTTCCCCCATATCCATTCCACCCAAGATGATAAATCTAAGCTAATCATGGTAATCTCATCCCCTTTGCTACTAGTTATTACTAGGCATGGGCAGAACTACACCAATTTCAGCTGATAAAACCTCAGCAGGTGCTGGATATTAACAAAAGGGAAGGGAGTCCTCATGGCTGCTGGTGGCCGTCTTAGAACCAGGAGTAAGTCGTATGCTGAAGCCAAGGCTAAGGACAGCAGAGCAGAGAGAAAAAGGAACCCGGTCCTTGAAGACATTTTCTTACTAGGTAAGACAATACATTTTCTTGCTATTTAAACCATTTTGCTTCACTTCTTCTATCACTAGTAGCTGAGAGTATATCTGGTGTATCTCCCACAGCACAATAAGCACAATAATGCCAATAACGTCTCCTAAGACTGTGTAAGTCAAACTGGATGCTTAGGTTACCCTCAGCTCACCAAGGGTTCATGGGCACTCAAAGCCAAAAAAGAGGAATTGGCGGGTCCTTCTGTCAGTCATAGGATAAGCAGAAATATGAAACTGGTTACAATGGTTATCTCTGGGTTGTGCAATTGAGGAGGGGAGGTAGGTAAGACGAGTTTTACTTTTCATTTTACACCTCTCATTTATTCCCTTAAAATTTTTAAATCATAGTCACATATCATTTTTATAACTAAAAGTTTTTTATTGTAAACCATACATAACATGTTATTTATCATTTTAAGCAATTTTTTTTTTGAGACAGAGTCTTGCCCTGTCACCAAGCTGGAGTGCAGTGCGAGATCTTGGCTTACAGCAACCTCCACCTCCCAGGTTCAAGCGGTTCTCCTGCCTCAGCCTCCCAAGTAGCTGGGATTACAGGTGCGCACCACCACGCCCAGCTAATTTTTGTATTTTTAGTAGAAATGGGGTTTCACCATGTTGGCCAGGCTGGTCTCGAACTCCTGACCTTGTGACCCACCTGCCTTGGCCTCCCAAAGTTCTGGGATTACAGGTGCGAGCCACCATACCCGGCCTCATTTTAGGCATTTTCAAGTGTATAGTCCTGTGGTATTATGTACATTTACATTGCTGTGCAACCATTACCAGCACCCATCTCAAGAACTGCTTCATCTGCCCAACTGAAACTCTGCCCTCATTAAACAATAGCTCATCAGTTCCCACTACCACTAGCCACCATTCTACTTTTTGCTTCATGAATTTGACTACTCTAGGTCCTGTGTATAAGTGGAATCATATATGTCATTTTGTGACTGGTTTATTTCACTTAGCTTAATGTCTTCAAGGTTCATGCCTGTCATAGCATATGTCAGTACTTTATTCCTTTTACTGCTAAATAATAGTCCACTGTATGCATATGCCACATTTTGTTCATCCATTCATTCAGTGATGGACACCTTGGTGGCTTTCACCTTTTGGTTATGGTGAATAATGCTTCTATGAACACCAGTATACAAATACCTGTTGGAGGCTAAAACCTTTTAAATTTAGCCCATGCATGGGGTAGGGGGAAATAATGGGTGAGGAGGGTTAATGAAAATGCTAACCATGGTTGTGCTTTGAGTGATGAGGTTATTTCCCTTTTCATCGTTCTAAAGTCATAAGCTTTCTTTAGCAATCATATATTAGTTTAAAGGAAAGAAAGTGTGCATTTTTTGAAAGAAAAAAACTTGAAAACAGTTGAGGTAAAATTGACCGCAGGATCAGAAACATTAACATAAGGAAGGATATCAGCATTCATGGAGTACCAATTACATGAGGCATTTTAGTATGCCTTAGTACTCTTTCTGGTGTGCTGGAAGCTTCTAATGGGGATAAATACTAATAAATAAGCTAATAGGTCATTAAGTACAGGGGGAAAAAACAGTCACCTGAGAAGGAAATTTGCTGATTTTCATAAAATATTAACCAGTTAATGCATTTACAAATTGCTTATCCTGATGCCTAATTGGATATTGAAGCAAGGTTAATTGCAATCCATCTCCAATAGTCCCCCAAACCCCTATTTTATTAGGATTTATTACACAACAACATATATTTCGCTGCACAACAACATATATTTTAGTAGTGAATTTTCACAAGCCAACCTTTCGCTGCACAACAACATATATTTTAGTAGTGAATTTTCATAAGCCACTTCCCCCCTTTGTAATGCTTCAACTACTTTGTAACTAGGCTTTTGGTGTCCCATGCTTTCAGGTCCCTAATGTATCTTCTTCCCTAATAAAGATTATTCTAAATGTCTTTTCATAAAAAGACTTGCTTGAAAATGACTATTCTTTAAGATGATAGATTTCACAGTTCCCAGCCTACCACTGGACAATATGTTAAGAGAAAAATCTCTTTCCCATCAAAGCAGGTACCAAATTCGGTTTCTTCCAATTGGCATCAGAAGAATCCAACTGAAGGTGAGGGCAGAGGTTTTGTTTGTTTGTTTGTTTGTTTGTTTGTTTTTTGAGACCGAGTCTTGCTGTGTTGCCCAGGCTGGAGTGCAGTGGCACGATCTCAGCTCACTGCAACCTCTGCCTCCCAGGTTCAAGCAATTCTCCTGTCTCAGCCTCCCAAGTAGCTGGGATTACAGGTGTCTGCCACCATGCCCAGCTAATTTTTGTATTTTTAGTAGAGATGGGATTTCACCATTTGGCCACATTGCTCTCGAGCTCCTTACCTCAGATGATCTGCCCACCTTGGCCTCCAAAAATGCTGGGATTACAGGTATGAGCCACGGCACCTGGCCGGAGAACAGAGTATTTAAATCAGCAGACAACATCCTCATTCTAAAGCCACCTTCTCTTAGCTCACAACCTGCCAATGAAAGAAAATAAAAGAAAAAATATTAAAAATCGTATGTCACTAAATAAAATTAAGGGAATACGTCAAGAAACTTACCTGAAAACTTGCTAAAGTGAGCTTTCTTTAAAAACCTGTTAAAGCAGACTGGGCGCATTAGCTTACACCTGTAATTCCAGCACCTTGGGAAGCTGAGGTGGGAGGATCAATTGAGCCCAGGAGTTCAAGACCAGCCTGGGCAACATAGTTATACCCTGTCTCCACAAAAAATAACCAAAAACCAAAAAATTGGCCAGATATAATGATATGAGCCTATAGTCCCAGCTACTCGGGGGTGGGGCTCAGGTGGGAGGATCACATGAGCCAGGGAGGTCAAGGTTGCATTAAGGCATGATTGCACCACTGCACTCTAGCCTGGGTGACAGAGTGAGATCCTTGGCCTCCCAAAGTGCTGGGATCCACAATGCCCAGCCTGCAATTTTAAATATAAGGAAAAAGGATGATCTCACTGGGAGAAGAACGTGAATGTTTAAGTAAAGACCAGAATGAGAAGGAACAAACCCTACAAATGACTAAGGAAAGAACTTTCCCAGCACAGGGTTAATAATTACAAAGTCCCTGGCCCATTCTAGTGTATCTTTATGAAACAGCAAGGAAGCCATTGTCCCTAGGGTGGAGTGAGGATGGGGCAGAGCAGTACCGGAAGTACAAGAGGAACTCAAACAGGTAACAAGGTCAGATCGTGTAGGGCCTTCTAAGTATTATAAAGACTTTGTCTTTTCCTCTGAGATGCAGAATCATTAGAGGGTTTTGAGCAGAGGAAAGCCATGATATGAGCATGACTTAGTATTTTACATTGTGTGATTCGGGGAAGGAAATGAAAGATAGTAAGAACAGAAATAGTGAAGTTGTTAAAGTTTGAAAATCGCTCCACCAGAATTTACTGACAGATTGAAAGGAAGAAGTCAGTGATAACTCCAAGGTTTTGGACCAGACCCACTGGAAGGGTGGAGTTGCCTCTAGTTATTTACTGAGATGGAGAAAACTGAAATAGGAACAGGTTTGGGGAACAGCATTGGGAGTTCAATTTGGGACACCCTTAAGTTGTAGATGCCTATTAGAAATCCAAGTGGATGGCCAGGCACAGTGGCTGACACCTGTAATCCCAGCACTTTGGGTGGCCCAAGCGGTGGATCACCTAAGGGCAGGAGTTCAAGACCAGCATGACCAACATGTCTCTACTAAAAATACAAAAATTAACCAGGCATGGTGGTGCATATCTGTAATCCCAGCTACTAGGGAGGCTGAGGCAGGATAGTTGCTTGAACCCAGGGGCAGAGGTTACAATGAGCTGAGATTGTGCCATTGTATTTTAGCCTGAACAACAGATCGAGTTTCCAAAAAAGCAAGGAAAGAAAGAAAGAAGAAAGAAAAGAAAGAAAGAAAAAGAAAGGAAGGAAGGAAGGAAAGAAGAAAGGAAGGAAGGAAAAAGAAAAAAGAAATCCAAGTGAAAAATTCAACTGGACATATGAACCTGGAATGCTGGACAGACGTTCAGGGTAAAGACATAAATTTGGGAGTCAACAATGTCTAAATTATTTTATTTTAATTTAAATAAAAATTAAGATATCTGAAACTGCCAGATTGGATGAGAGTACAGAGAGAGAAAATGGAGGTTGGAAAAGAGTAAAGATCAAAAGATTGAATCCCGGCAGAAATCCATAATTATGTATAAATTTCACCTCATACAAAACTGGCTCCCTCTCTCCCCTTCCTATGAGTCTGAATACTCCATCAGAAAACTTTTTCTTCTACAAATCAAAATATCTCTGTGAACTAAAAAAAACCTCTGAGGCACTAAAGAGGAGGGCTTTGAGTCCTATGTCAGGGAATGATCAGCAGCACTACTGAAAGAAATTGGCAAAATAATACAAATATTATAGTTAGATTATACATCCAAGGAGAACAAATTTAAATTGATCAAAATAATTGTTGAACCAAGGGGAGGGAGCAGAAGCAGCAATTAACATGTAATGAACACCTTTAACTAGGCACAGTTGAGCTTGCTAAAATGGGTTCTTTTTTTTTTTTTTTTGGAGACTGAGTCTTGCTCTATTGCCCAGGCTGGAGCACGGTGGCGCTATCTTGGCTCACTGCAACCTCCACCTCCCAGGTTCAAGCAATTATCCTGCCTCAGCCTCCTGAGTAGCTGGGATTGTAGGCATGTGCCACAGCTAATTTTTGTATTTTTAGTAGAGACAGGGGTTTCACCATGTTAGCCAGGCTGGTCTCGAACGCCTGACCTCAGGTGATTTGCCTGCCTCAGCCTCCCAAAACGCTGGGATTACAGGCATGAGCCACTGTGCCCAGACTAAAATGGGTTCTATGAGCATCAAATAAGATAGCCTACAAGGCTGGTATTAAACCCCATTTTACTTAGAAGTAAACCTTGGAGCAGTCAAACAATAGCCAGTAAGTAGAATCTAGATTTAAACTCAAGTCGGACTGACTTCAACATTTTGCTTTTCTTCCAGTAAAAGCTGCCTTGAGTCCATGGCAAGATATTACAACATGAGAAGAGTCACCAGTGAGAAGAATCACAAAATACCTGTAATAATAAATTATTTCAGACGAATGAAGCCTCATCCGGTCTTATCTTATACCCTAACCCTCCCATTATGGGGTCTGGAGAGAGTCTATGATTTTTCGGAGATCAAATGATTATTATATGACAGAACCAGAAGGCTACACTGAACAGAGCATCAGGCGCTGGGACTGAGGGAAAAAGAAAGCATTTCCAGGTCCCTGCGCACTGATCATGTGGTCTGGGAAGTGCTGTAGCCTCTCTGGACTTAAGTTTCCTCATCAAGAAAACAGAAGACCTCAGATGATAATTAATCGAGAATTCATACAATAAACACACTACACAACTTCCCTGAGACTTATTTCCTACCTGTATAATATGAGGATAATGATTAGTCATGTTGCTAAAGAGAGAGAAACTGCAAGCGAGACCGAGATACAGAGAGGTTTCTTTTATATATATATATATATTTATATATATATATATATATATATATATATATATATATATATATAAATCATTGTGTATGTAAAATATATACAAATCTATTCAAAGTTACAATTTATCAAAACATATGCACACAAACACTTGCAGGTGGTAGATGGCACCATCAGCAGTTGAGAGAAATGTTAAAAAAGGTAGAGAGAGAGGTTTCTAATGTCCCCCACAGACCCCAGCACCACCACTGTTGGCCAGGCTGGGCCCACAGTAAGCAATTCTGGGCAGCCAGATTTCCCCTGAGTTCCACTTTGCTCCTGACTTCGACTTTTTTTTTTTTTTTTTTTTCTTTTTTGAGACAGTCTCACTCTGTTGCTCAGGCTGGAGTGCAGTGGCATGATTTCGGCTCCCTGCAACCTCTGCCTCCTGACTTCAAGTGATTATCATGTCTCAGCCTCCCAAGTAGCTGGGATTACAGGTCATGCAACACTCTTTTTTGTATGTTTAGTAGAGATGGTGCTTTGCCATGTTGCCCAGGCTAGTCTTGAACTCCTGGCTTCAAGCAATCTGCCTGCCTCAGCCTCCCAAAATGCTGGGATTACAGGCATGAACCACCACACCCAGTCCCCCCTTGTCCTTCTTGGTGTAAAAGAGTGTTTTCATCAGCTACTGTCACAATATCTAAATATGGTGCTGAAATGTGATCCCCAATGTTGAAGGTGAGGCCTAATGGGAACAGCAGTGATGCGCCCCTTCTGTTAAGGTTCCAGTACTCCCCTGAGTAACTGGCCAGGATTAGGGGAAGAAACCTGACCTGGAATCAAAGTTTAAATTATTAGATTCTTCACAACTAAGTCAGAAATTTCCAGAACCTTTTCACAAACAACTGTCCCAGATACCTATGTTTGAAAATGGGGATTAAATATCTGTTATTTTAAATAGTTCAAGAGCTTTAACACTAAAAGAAATGAATAAAACATTACTGTACTCAGTCTCCCATGAATTCTGTGTTTCACTAAAGCATCTCAGGTGGGAAATCCTTCTTTTTGCATCCCACTCTTTTGGAGGACTGATTTTGCCTTGGTTTTTGTTGAGATCAGAAAACACAGATACACCTTTGAAGCTTCCGGTCAGAATTGCAATCCAGATCTGTATTTCCTTGGTTTTCAGTTTTGCAATGAAACTATTTCTTGCCTAATATTCAAAGGTTCTCTATCTTTGGGGTACAGCTAGGTGGGAAAAAAAACAGATGCCATGGACCACCAAAGGGACACACCACCCTGGGTGTTTCAGATCACTCGGCATTTCTGAGCATTTGAAAAAGCCCTGCTTTGTGAAATATGGCAGGGATGAGTATGAGCCTGCCTTGGTGGTGTGGGGGAGGGGGGAACGGGGTGTGGGGGAAACTGTTGTTTCTTTTCAGAAATTGTAATCTATTGCCACCTTGTGGTCGTTCTGTGTTCGTGTTCAGAAAAGCAAGAATTGAGCGTGTTAAGATTTTGCCCACGCAAATCATCCCGTCCTCCTTGATTAATTTCTTTGTATTAGAATATTCTCGTCTTCTGACTATCAAAGGGGAAGGACCACTTGCCAATTATTCGAGGAATTCAGCTCTCTTCTTTAGCAGAAGTGATTGTAATTCCCAGAGTCCTCTCCAGCCTTCCAGCATTCTGCTGTCTCCCCTTGCACCCTTTTAACCCGTTCCTGCCACCCAGCTGTAAGTGTTGTGTAGTCTGTTGGGATGGGGGTGTGGATTTAGCCATGGTCCTCCAAGAAAGTCCAGAATAATTCAGGGAACTATCTTTAAAGTACAAAAACAGCAAATGGACCTTAGCTCCGACTTAAGCCGAATGAAAGGTTAAGTAACACTTCCCCCAGTTCTCGTCTTGGGAGACAGACGTTTAAACGTTGAGCACTGCCATTTTTTTTCCTTTTGGGTCATAAATTAGACACTTAAAATAGATTTTAAAGAGCCAACTGAAACGAACCAATACCGTGAGTCTAAGTTACCTTTCCTGGAGGCTAAAAATTCTTAAGTGCGTCAAAAAAATTAAAAATTACGTGTCCTGTCTACTCACCTTGACTGACGACGTTTTAGGCATAAAGATCTCCTCGCAGCCCGTTTGGGCGCTCGTCCTACCCACTCGCTTTTTCACTTTGCGGAAAAGGCTCGGCCACAAATCCGGTTGGAATATCTTTAAACAACCCCCCACCCGCCCACGCCACGGAAAGGAATAAAGGGCATTGTGGGAGGAGAGTCGTGTTCTCAAGTCCCAGCCGGGGTTGACCTAAGGAAAGGTTGTCCTCGGCAGACAGAGTGGAGTAGCCGGGGCTGAAGGCTCGCAAATCCCTAACGCCCGAGAGAGACTGGAGGGGTCGTACATCGCCCCCTCCTTCTGCCTTTGAGCGCAGCGTTTCCATTTCTTCAAAGAGCTTCAAATACAATCGAAACAGCTGGGCGGACACCACTCCCTTCCGGACCGCCCCTCATCAACGGTTCGAGTCCCTGGAGAGGATTATCTTTCTTCCACCCCCATTATCCCGAGAATCCTCCCCCAGGATTAATAAAAGATTAAAGAAAGAGTGAAAGATATAAACAAAAACGTAGGTTTCAAATGTTGTGAAGAGCCGAACGAAAACCACGGCCACTCTTAGTCCAAATTCCTACCGTAGAGGAGAGCAGTGGGCGAAATACCCCACCCTCCAACTAGACAAAACAAACACAGCAGTTACTGCCAGGAGGGAGGAGGGCTGGGGCGAGCCTGGCGGGTCGGCCCAGAGCTATTGGCGGAAGCGGACGAAACCGAGGCTTGGGGACCAGAGGGGCGGGAGCTGTCCTTCGTGCTGAAAGATCTATGCCCTACCTCAAAACTGGGTATCAGGATAGGGTGGAATTCCAGGCCTTCAATTCCTTACCATTCCTGCTGTGCCCAAGAGTCCGAGCTGGAGGGGAAGATCATTGAAAATTAAATTAAATTCATGAAGTCTCTAAGTCCGTTCCTCTCCCTGCCTCGCTGGAATGTTCACTCCGGCGTGCAGGATAATATAAACCGCAGGGACAATGCAAACTCAAAAAAAAACAAAAAAAAAACAAAAAAAAAAGTGCTTGGCACATAGTAGGGGATTAATAAATATTCGTTTAGTCAATTATTGCTAATATTCAATTAAACATTCTAAACAAGGAAGGGCAAGAGGCGTCATTCCTCCCCTCCTTACCATAAGGGAGAAAGAGAAGGATGTCCTCCAAACTGGACGGACTCAGCTTCAATTTGAGATACCTAGCCTTGCAGGAGATTCCTTCTCCAACGAGATTATCTTATTGGCTAAAACGTTGGGGGTGTTTTGGACTCGGGGGGTCAAAGGAGGAAGTGGTTGGAAATGTCTCAATCTCGTGCCACAGGTAAAGAAAACGAATCTTCCTTTCGGGC